TGTGTGTGTGTGGTGTGTGTGTGTGGTGTGTGTGTGTTTGTGGGTGTGTGTGTGTGTGTGGTGTGTGTGTGTGTGTGTGTGTGTGTGTGTGTGTGTGTGTGTGTGTGTGTGTGTGTGTGTGTGTGTGGTGTGTGTGTGTGTGTGTGTGTGTGTGTGTGTGTGTGTGTGTGTGTGTGTGTGTGTGTGTGTGTGTGTGTGTGGGGTGTGTGTGTGTGTGTGTGTGTGTGTGTGTGTGTGTGTGTGTGTGTGTGTGTGTGTGTGGGTGTGTGTGTGTGTGTGTGTGTGTGTGTGTGTGTGTGTGTGTGGTGTGTGTGTGTGTGTGTGTGTGGTGTGTGTGTGGTGTGTGTGTGTGTGTGTGTGTGTGTGTGGTGTGTTGTGTGTGTGTGTGTGGGTGTGTGTGTGGTGTGTGGTGGCCTGCTCAGCAACAAAATACGAAGATCCCCATCCCACTTGAAATATTAATGTTTGAAAATGAGTGCATAAGGAGAATATAAGTATATGTAGGGTAATGAAAGTAGGGTGTAAACTACTACTTTCATTGACCACTACTAACTGTGAGACGATGGCCGCACACTTTCATCTTGGAAGCCTCCTACGTCTAGAAATTAATGTCACGGCACTATTGCACTATTACAACCCCAGTAGGGGTGAGATGGGTCAAAAAAAATTTTCGCTGAAACTTCGGCTATGGGGGTTATCGAGGGTCCTGATCACGAATATGATATTCATTTTTGGCGCTGGCGCCAATTTGGCGCCATTTGGCGCCAGGTGGCGCCACGACTGATTCCCACTAAATTCGCTGTAAACTTCTGTATAGGGGTTATTTGGGGTCCTGATTAGCAAAAATAGCCCGGAACATAAAATTAAAAAGTTTTGCTTTTCGGTACAAGGTCCGCTACTGGTACAGTTCGCCATGCATATGATATTGAGGGCTCAGTCGTCCAAGAAGTTGATAAAACTACAGATCTAGGATTTTTGATGACATCCGATTTCAGTTTTGATGCGCATTGTGAAAATTGCTAAAAAAGCACAAAACGCTACCTACAGGGTGTTTAGGGCGCTGACTACCAAAAACCCTTCGGTTCTCCTACAGGCCTATAAAACATATGTATGACCCCTTTTGGAATACGGTACTGTCGTTTTCAATCCACACAAGCGGAAAATCATAGGTAAAATTGAAAAAGTTCAGAATAGCTTCACTAGGAAACTTCTTGTTAGAGTCGTTGGATTCCTCTATGATAGTATTCCTTCGGCACCTACTTGAAACTCTAATCTCGGCTTAACTTCTCCTGCTTGGCGACGGAGGAAGCTCGATCTTCTAATGTTCTACAAAATTCTCCATGGGCACTCTTGCCTCCATCTCACCTTTTGCAATGTTAGAGCATCCACAACAAGAGGTGGTGCCATTCAGCTTACTTCTCCTAGGTCTAGGCTTCAGTGTAGAGCTCACTTTTTCATAAATCGTGTTTACTCTCAATACATGGCGCTAAGCAGAAAGAAAAGCATTCCTATTACCTCTTCAGGATTCAAGAAATACCTCGATGACCACCTGGTTCCGCAGTGACTTCCTCGTGTTGTGTTCCATGTTTGATTCTGACTCTCTCATGATCTTCGTTCGCAGCTTTTTTTTAGCGTCATGTTGTTTTTTTGTTGATCCTATACCATCTACTGCATCTTTGTGTTGGTACAGGTACTACTATGTTACATGTGTTTCTACATATGCTAGGTTACTTCTCGTTTGAAGTTTTCACATGAGATTCCTCATCCAATAAATATACATAAAAATGATGGGTAGTCAAGGAAGTGCAATCAAAAGAACAGTATACCACCGGTTCCAGTAGCCTTGCCGTGGGGAATTCAATTATCAAGGTGAAAAAGGTGATTATACATACGCCCGATTACTTTAGAGTAAAGAAGTTGGTGAAAGAAAACATACGTACTGCTGGGCGAAACCTAGTAGCGATTCTAGGCGTAGTACTGTGTATTTGGAGGCCGAGAAAGGTGCACCAATGGCTTTCCTAAGAGTAGGACATGCAAGAGTGGAGTCGTAGGTGTGAACTGTTGTCGGCGCTTCTTTTCTGCGACATCAACAATCCTTTTCTTGTGAGTTTTGCAACGACTAGAATTTGATTCATTGTGACGATCGGAGAGGATCACTGGTTGAGCCGCATCGTGGGGGAACCACCTTCCCCATCAAAATGCGCCAATAGAAAGTCAGCGGAGTGTATGATGGTCTGCTTCAGGCCTGATCCATGACAGCTCCTTGAAACTAAGTGAAGCAATTATGGCGCAAGAGTCAATTTAGAAGTTACACCAAATCCACGCAAAATCAAGTAATGAGCCCGACCTGGTCATAAAAGGAGGACTTATTCTTTCCACAGAACGCACGGTCACACGTCGCACGACGTTCCAAAACCCATTCAAATTGGGACACAAAACCCTGCTTCACTCATCATATTTTCCCTCACTGCCAGACTTCTCTTACCTATAGACTACCACTTCTTGATGAGCTCCGACAACTTCTTGCAGTAGAAATGCTTTAGTAGACAAACCCAGGTGGAAACTGACTTCAACGATTTCATCGGCTCCGAACTCCAGACTTCCATGCAAGACAAACAGTTGCACTCGTCCCTCATCCGCCAAGATGCGTTCACTCTATTTATTCATTTTACCTCGATTGATAATGTTTGCATTGAGCTGTGATATGCCGTTCAAAAAATAAGGGTCAAAAAGTGACGTTAATTCCTGGACGACATAATACATGACTGCTCACGAAACGTTACATGACAGAACGTCAAGAAGAGAATGTCACATAAGAAATGCAAAAAAAAACAAGTGAGAGGAGAACAGATAAACAACGGTAACGAAAGCGAAACGAAATTAGGAGCCCAATTTGGTTTGTGGACGACACAAAAAACCGTGAGGATTTCCGTTTTCCACACAGGCACGCAGGTGAATAACGGTCGAGGAATCCCTCGACAAGCGGTCATATTGTCCGGGGAAAGGTTGCCACTCATCTGCTATCATCATTATTTTCAAAAGTGTCCTAGTTAGCGTAATGCAAATGATATCTCAAATTGTCTAGAATCAAAATTTGAATGAAAAATGCTTGTTTGTTTGCTCACCCGACGACATCGGGGTCAGAAAGGAACTACGCGAATAAAGGAATGATCAGACTTATAACCACCGACTTACTCTAGTTAGATGATATATCACCTTTCGGACTGCACAAGTTGCCGTGTAGGCGAAACGCCTTTCAAATGACTCCGAGTGGGGTCACTGCATGGCGCATACCAGAACGGAATGGATCTGCGCCAAGTGCATCATTTTCAATTTACTCCATCGAACTGACGTGTACAGAAGCATTTTGAAGGTGTTCAAAGAAGTTCCCTACTACGGCGAGGGAGTAATAGAGTTTTCGAGTGGCTTCGAAAATTTCCTTGACATTTCCTCGACGCAGATTTCTCGCGAACTAGAAAGCGTTCGAAACAACTGGAGCACCTATCAGAAAGCGTAAATCTTCTACTTTACAACGCTTTCTCGGATTTTCAAAGCATTGCCAATGAAGACAGTTACAGTCTTCCGTAAGAGTGAAAATCGCATGTGAGTTTCATATTCCATTCTCGACGTCATCAACAGTCCAGATAATACGTGCTCGAACAGAAGCTCAGCACAATTTAGAAACTAGAAGTCAGGAACTGCCTTCACTTTCTGAAATGGTTATCAATGAAGAAAGTTATAGTCCTTTGAAATAGGGGGTACATTTGACGATTTTTCCAACTAGCGCGCTCTAGGCACAGCGCGCGACGCGATCGCGGGTAGTTAGCGCCGCTATACTGGAGCGCGAGACTGTTCAACTGTGTAGGGGCAGTACCTCCTTCAATGTTCTACTTTCCGGCCAATGTGGCAAAGGTTAAATGTCTTTAAAGGAAAGAAGGAGAACCTAATCTGAGCAGAATTGAATCTAGCATTTGGATCAAGGAGCATTTGCGTGGCAGCGGCGCTGCGTCCCTCTCGCACATCTGAACATTTTTGATATAAAACCGGATGTGCAGAGGACAAAAAAGGGGTCGTATCAAGTCCTCATTTTGGAGGGGGGTCGTAAAGAGGCGGTCAATTTCCTCGACACGATTTTCACCCTGGTGGTACGTCATGATTTGAGCGTGCGCTACAAGGTTGCCAGTGTCTTTTGCTGCCCGCTTGACCGCTGCGACCGCTGCCACTCTTACCAGTCGCGGTATATGTGGCGTTTGCGTCCTCTCGCGTAAGACGTGCTCTCTCAGGTTTTTGCTCCAATAGCTTTTGAGAATTTTGGCGGAATCTTTAGGGAAAAAGCATGGGATGGTGAAAATTAGAACAGATGACGTTCGCTGTCCATATCTCACCCCCTTGCCGCCCTGCTTGATGGCCATGGCCATTTCGAAAAAAAAGGCGGGCGGAGGTAGGAGCGTGCTGACTGTCCTTGAATCTAATACTATAAAAATAGCGGTGATGGGAGAATGGTCGACGGGGTGAGAGGGTCTTATTGGGGAACCTCCTGAGGCGGTAATGTTGCTGAGGGCCGTACTAACACCTCATCCTTAAGAGAGAGAGAGAGTCAAATTTGAAATTTGACGTCAAACGTGAAGGCGAAGTCACTTGTTTTGGCGCTCGAAAAGGTGAACAATACGGATTTTGTTTGACACAGCAAGAATTGCACAAAAGGATACCAATTAAATTCTACAAATCTCGGCCCATTTCAGCATAAGTCTTCCACCGCCGCTACTCCCTCTGAAAGTCCCAAATAGTACTCTTCCAACGACGCCTTTTTGGGTCAACCTTAGTGCCAATACATGACTAATGATTATTTGTACTGGAGCGTGAAAAAACACAGGAATTCATGATAAACGTTTCTGAAAGGTTCAATTTAGAAGAAATGGTAATATCTTATGGGTTTAATGATATTGAAGCTCTAAAAAATGTCTTCATGAAGGACTCAGAACAAGTCATATGAGAGCCACGACTCATGTTTGCCAAATTTGGCTTAGCTCACAAGGGTAATGTACTCTTATCAAAGAGATAATGTCAAGAAAAAAAGTCGATTAATGTTACCTTGCACAACTAATGCCATTAAAATGTACAGTTTGCGGCCAACTTCACATCGATCATCGATATATAACATTAATCGCAAAATACTCCCACCTGGTGTGGATAGTTGCCAACGCCATCGTCCGTAGTCGTCGAACAAGCATCGAGGGATCGATGACGTCTAAACAAAAAATTTGAAGCTCTTCTTAGCGTTGTATTCTTGAGTTTATAGTGTACGGACTGACCGATCCCTTGGTGAAGTCATGTATTTTTGTTGAGCTGGCAACGGGCAGTACATCTGAATAAAAGTATAATAAAAATGTGAACTGCACAGTACCTTTTATGGCGGGTGCCCAGTCAAAAGCCCCGGTTTCCACCAGAACTTCGTCAAATGGAAGGCCCCTACTTGAATCTAGCAATCCAATTCCTTCGTCACTCTGCTTACGCTGTTTTCAACTTCTTTTTTCATTTTGAATTTTATTGTTTTGTTACGAATACCTCTTTAACTTTCTAACTTACACTAGATCATCGACAGTAAATAATGTCATCGACTGGTTCAACATACTAGCGTGCACCACACGCGGTTTAGCGACATAAAATCAGTTTTGATTTTGGCCCCGCTAACTTTGACCGTCCGCTGGCATTCCACCTATTGGAATTGGCTAGTCGTCTTATAAGAGCAGTGATCTGTTCTTGCACGCTTCACCCAATATCCCTCATTTCGTTCATTGTGAGTGGAGCTCCTCTCTCAAGCAGGGTCAACCGTCCGTTCGAACTGTTCGAACGAAGGGGTCGCATTTTGGTCGGAAGGGGGTCGCAATTTCGAGGACTGCCAGCCACAGGCGCGTGCGTGGCGTATCCGAGGGCAAGACTTGCTTGTGCAGACCGCATTAGATTCGATTTATTATGCACAGAGAGACAGTTTTAGGCAAATTACGTGTTTTCTTGAGGAATAAAGAACAGTTGAATGCATCCCTATGAAAGGTTTGACTTCTCGGGGCTGAAATTAAAGTTCTTCGGGGACCTAATTTTCTGAGGACGAGTTCTTCAAAAATGTCTTCGCCCCTCCCCAACAAGTTCTTTGAAGGAAGTTATTATTGCTGAAAGCTCAAAAACTCGCATGTGCTGCTCAAAAACCTATGGGAACAAAATGTTCGAACGTGTGATTTTCTCGGAAAATGGATTTTGAAAAACGGTTTGGTGCTTGTTAGAAAGAGCAAATCCTGCACTTTC